TTTGACAGAGAGACACAGCGAGAGAAGGAACACAAGCAGGGGGAGTGGGAGAGGGAGAAGCAGGCTTCCCGCGGAGTAGGGAGCCCGACGTGGGGCTCAATCCCTGGACCCTGGGATCATGACCTGAGCTGAAGGCAGACGCTTAACGACTGAGCCACCCAGGCGCCCCTTGTTCTTTCTTTTTTTTTAGCTTGTCTTATTTTACTCTTTGAAATATAACATAATACATAAAATTCATCATTTAAAAGGGTACAAATCAGTGTTTTTAGTATACTCACTATGTTGTACAACCACTGCCATTAATTCCAGAACATTTCCATCACTCCAGAAAGAAGCCTGTTAGCAGTCAGTTCCAATCCCCCCTGCCAATCACTAATCTACTTTCTGTCTCTATGGATTTGCCTATTCTGAACATTTCATACAAATGGAATCAAACAACATGTAGCCTTTTGTATCCAGCTTCTTTGACTGAGCATAAGGTTTTCAAGGTTCATCCATGTTATAACATGTAACTACATTCTTTTATGGCCGAATAGTATCCCATTGTGTGGATAGTATCCCATTGTGTGGGATTGAGATTGAGAGTTGCATGTCTTCATCTCTGCTAATTTCCCTTGTCTGGACATTTACTTGGTCTGATATTAATGTAGCTGTACCAGCCTTCTTGTGCTGTGTGCCCAATATATCTTTTTCATCCTTTCACTTTCTGTGTCTGTAGAAAAAATGTATCTCTCTTACATATTATCTAGTGGGGTCTTGACGAGCTCTGTGTTTTAATTGGAATGTTTACAATTAATGGAATTATTCATACGGTTGGGTTTAAGTCTGTGATAGTTTGCTAGAGCCCCATAACAAAGTATCACAGACTGCATGGCTTAAACAACAGAAACTTATTTTCTCACAGCTTTTGGAAGCTAGAAGTTTGAGACCAATGTGTTGACGGAATTGCTTCTTTCTGAGAGCTGTGAGAAAGGGATCTATTCCAGGCCTCTCTCCTTGGCTTGTAGACAGCCAAGTTCTTCTCCCTGTGTCTTCACGTTGTTTTCCTTCTGCACATGTCTGTATCCATTTCTCTTCTTTTTTTTTCTTTAAGATTTTATTTACTTATTTGAGAGAGCGAGAGCGAGCGCATGAGTTGGGGAGGAGGGGCAGAGGGAGAGGGAGAAGCAGACTTCCCGCTCAGCAGGGAGCCTGATGCAGGGCTCAACCCCAGGACCCCGAGATCATGACCTTAGTCGAAGGCAGACACTTAACCGACTGAGCCACCCAGGCGCCCCCAAATCTCCCCTTCTTGTAAGAGGATTAGGGTCCAGCCTAATGACCTCACTTTAACTTAGTACCTATGTAAGGGCTCTATCTCCATACAGTCATATTCTGAGGTGCTGGGGGGTGAGGATTTCAATATATCATGTCAATAGTAGAAAAGTCTATCATCTTGCTACATGTTTTAAATTTGTCTCATATGTTCTTTTGTTCCTCAGTTCTCCTTTTTCTGCCTTCTTCTGAGGAACTGAATATAATTAATATTATATTTACATATTATAATTCAATAGTCAGTATATTAAATATCATTAATGTTATATTTTACTTCCTTTCTTTGCTTTGTAGCTATACCTCTTTTTATTATTATTATTATTTTTTAAAGTTATTTATTTATTTGAGAGAGACAGTGAGAGAGAGAAAGAGCACAAGAGGGGGGAGAGGGAGAGGGAGAAGCAGACTCCCTGCTGAGC